CAATTTGAGCTAATGGCAGAGATGAACGGAGACGCAACAGTATTTTCTACGTTAAACTAATTGGTTAAAGAATAATTTGTAACGACCCCCTAAGACAATTATAGCCTCTTCTTTCTATTGAAACAACGAGGTATTTATCCTTCGTTCACAGCATAAGTGTATGGGTGTAACCACTGATCATCTTTGACACAAGTTTGAGATCATATGGGTCTACGCATTAGTTTCAAAGTTTTGTGAACTTTTAATAGAAACAGTAAGTCCTTCATTTAGTATTTTTAGTTGTAACGAAATTAATTACTAGGCTTGTAATATAATTAAATCTAGTTGTATGATTTGTGTATTTTTAATGTTAACAAAGACAGAAGTTTGTAACATATACGTGTTAAGTTGTGTTTGAAAAGGGGGATTCCAACATGGTGATTGGTGTTCCACAAGATATTTTAGACAATAGTATGTTCTGTGTGTGGGTAATTGTTATGATGTTGATTGTCAGTGTAATAAATCATGATGGAAATTTTTACGCAAACAAAACCTTTGCAATGTCTATGATTTAAAAAGTATCGTAAAATAAACTTATCGCTGCTGTTAGATAAATCAAAATTGACCTCAACATACAGTATTTGCTAAAGTATAGCAACAATGTTTTAAAACAGAAGATAATTAAATCTCAGATATTTAAATAGAATCGATCTTTAGTTTTGTTCTAAGTCAACTGAAACAGTCTGACAATGAAAGTACATGGTATGCAATAACTTATGTTTTATCATTAATAATTACATTTTAGAAATGTGCAGTTTAATTAAGTACGAAAATTCGATTTAACTGATATGTGTAACAATATATTTATAGTGAATCATCTATTTTAAGTATATTGTAAATAAACAGAGAGTGTTTATAATAACTGACTTATTTTAATAAAAGTTTTCTGTACGCTTAAACGGAAGTTTTATCTGTTACTAGCAGGATACCCGGCGTTGCTCGGGACCGAAGCACTCAGTTTGGTGACCACTTGATTAAGAGGAAAATAACTAAAAAAGCTTCGTGGTAATTGTACCTGAATTATAATTCTTTCAGACAAAATATTTATTTTCTTTGTAAGAGAGATAAACAATTAAAAGAAACTTGACTTTTGTCGAAAACATAGTCCGCTGAGGGTTTCATGAAAACATAGTTAATTAAGGGCTTCGTGATAAACAATGTTCTTAGTTTTTCCACATGGAGCATTTACATAAATATTTTTTTGGGGTTTCCAACACGTGAGCATCCAACATAGAGCTGTCCATGAGAGAAGCATGGCTCTTCCAACTGCAAGCCAGTTACCTTCAATGTCTGACTTTGCGATTTGTTGATGGACATGTAAAAGCTTAAGCGAATGGCAAACTGTAGTCTTTTAAACTCAAATGGCGTATCAGTGGGAGTCAGTGGGATTCTAGGATTGAAAACATCTTCACCCTTGCCACATCCAGAAAGTATTGTAGCTTCAATAACATGGGGCATAAGCTTCTTTACTGCCAGTCTTGTTCCATTGCACAGAAGTGGTGAATCCAAATTTCGGAGTACCATGATTGGTGCTCCTACTTTTAGACTGAGACAATGTGGTGGGACTCCTGGAGGTTCAAGTGAATTCAGAAACTCTGGGGGATAGTTGACCACTTGGGTTTGATCAGGCACCGAGTCAACTGAATTGTAGCACTGGGTATTACCAGTTATCTGCTGCAACAGCTGTGTGTTGATGACATTGACAACATTGTTCTTTGGAGCTAATGTTGCTCTTTCACACAGCCACCTGTGATTTTGATAGTTTTCGGGAAGATTTGGGAAAACTTTTGCTATGAGTTCATCAACAGATTTTACTTGTGTACATATTGGTCCCATGTCAATTGTACCTTGTTGACCTTGTTTGACTTTGCCATTGCCTAGTTGCAATAGGCTGTCAGCAAACTGTCCAGATGGATTCTCATATTGGTAGATAGGTGGAATTTTTTTACGTTTCTCCAAAGATATGATAATTTTAGGCAAGCCTTAAGTTCATCAGCTCGTGTGCCTCTTGAAATAACCGGCAATGTTTGTCTGAAATCTTCAGCCAAAATCAAAGTGACCTCCCCCCCATTATCTTTTTGCTTTCACGAATATCTTAAATTGTCCTATCCAAAGCTTCTAATGCTGCTTTGTGAGACATTGTACATTCATCCCAAACAATCATTTGGCATCTTCTGAGGACTTCTGCCATACCAGTTCAGATACCATCCGACTTGTTTCTCCTACGTATACTTGTCTACAATATAAACAAGTAATGCAATAAATTAAGAACTTGGATGTACAGGCGAACAGTTGTTTGACTGTGTATGTGGAGTTGGGTGCAGAAGCACTGGTGTTGATGTACCATCATGTGTTGCACCGTGAACGTGTATCACACTGAAGATGGTTGATTTCTTCTGGTGTCTTCAACCGTGCACCAAAAAATAAATCTTTTAGGTTTTTTTCCACGTCGATACGAAACAATAGGTTTATCCTTAAATGTTTCTCTGAATGTTCTGCCGTTTTGAAGTATCCCAAATTGTTTTTGGATTATCTTAGAAACCTGGATGTTTGGTGGATGATATGCCAATGATCATTTTTATGATCATTCTTCTTTGTATTCAGTTTTAGTGTATACTTATGATTAATGTTTGCAGCGATTTTGCGAATTGAGTTGATTATGTCTACAGAATAATTCTTGATCCTAAAAATAGCCTGAGATTTCATCAGCCTTCTGGTTAAAATCGGATTTAGAATCGCATAAACGGCATAGGCAATGAAATTGTGATTTTGAAATGACATTTTTAGTGGATATAGAATGGCTGGAGTTGTAATCGAGGAAAGAGTGGAAGTCGGTAGGTTTCTGATAGATGGACGTTGCAATAGTATTCTTTGCAGTTAGGTTAGAGTGATGTCGAGGACATTTACTGAATGGCTTGTAACGTTGCTTGTGTACTGAAGGACTGGATGATAGCTCTTAACGACGATAGATTGATGACGTCATTGGAATATAAAATTCCAGGATAGACGAACTCTATATTTTTATTAACTTCCTTAAGAACTATCATTCACTGCGCTGGTATTGCCTAGACAAAATGAGTGAGTAGAATTATCAACTGTTCTGTATGTGCCCAAATAAAAGGGCGAAAGTATCTCATGTCCTATATATGCTGAAGGAAACAGAATTTTCGAAACAAAAGTGCTGAATCTTTAAGTAAGAATATGTTTTAGACGTTTATTTTTGATAAATAGTTATAACCTGAAACCGAATAAAATGAGTGGTAAAGGTAAAAATAGAGAAAAATTGATTATTTTTTAGAATTGTTGTAAAAATTTAGATTCTGCTTTTCAGCGATCTATTAATATTTTAAAATTTATAATAAAATAATTATTTGAATTAAATGATATAAAACTTACATATTTGTCAAAATATATGTTAAATTTTGAAGTTAAACATATTCATATTAGACATTTAATTATAGATGTAATCAAATTAAAATGAAACCAAATACCAATGAATATTTTGGTGAAAGACAAAAAAAGAAAATTCTTACATGGTAATAGATTTCAAACATAAAGTATATGATGATTTATCTCTACCTTATGTTACGTACCTGCTTATTTGATAATTTCCGGTAGAAATTCATTCCGAGGAACTTAAGCGATACAAGTCCTTTCTTGATTAACCCAGTTTATTCTTCCTCGATACAAACTTTTAATACACAGTAATTTCTCAGTGAGTATGTACCTCGTCACTCTAAACTTAACAACTTTTATAACACACAGTGATTCACACACTTTACTCACGGTGCCTACTGTTCGCTTGACTCAATTATCTATCTGCCGCTGGATTTCTTTGCCAGGCTTATATATACTAAAAAAGAGAGCATCTAGATCACACTCGAGCTGGCGGGCAAATTCATGATCCTTCTAGAAACTCCAGCACGCTTGGTCCCAGCGTCGCGTGACTTCCGCTGTCGTAACACTTATTTAATTCATAAAAGTGTTAAAGAAGAAAGATTTACCATACAATCGTTACAACCTATAGTTAGTTTTAAATATAATAAATGTATAGGACCTCTTTTCTTTAACTACAAAAAATATACTCAAGAACTGAATCCGAGAGAAATCGATAACTTGCCTTGTAACTGTGTCAGTAGTGATTTTATTGACACTTTTCATAATCATATTGCTACAGGTAATTTAGAGGATATAATAGATAAATAATTAAAATCGATTTTAGAAAATGTTTTTTTTTGTTTTTGTGTTTAAGCACAAAGCTACACAATGGACTATCTGTGCTCTACCCACCAGGGGTATCGAAACCCGGATTCTAGCTTTGTAAGTCCGCAGACATGCCGCTGTGCCACTGGGGGGCGATTATAGAAAAAGATACGAAATTTAGAATTTAAAAAAAGTAAAAAAGTGAAATCTCCAAAGAATTGACAAACAATATCGATGAATACATTATCAAAAGAAGTCACAAATATTTTTATCCTCCGTGTTTCTTTTTTGAATGGAAACATAAAAAATCGATTAGAAACTTTAAACTTATCTATATATAAAATGGATATTTCTTTCAATATCTTTAAAAATATTATAAGGGACATTCAAGAACAATTCATTTTTACACTTATTGATAAAGCTGGTTATAATTTTGGTTTTGTACGTAAAAAATTACATGCAAAAATTTTAACTACTGAAATGAGTACAACAAACACATTTACAAAAAGCACTTTAAATAAAGATTCAATCATTACTAATTTAATAAAAATCATTAAAAATGGTTTGTTTGAAGTTAAGCACAAAGCTCCACGGGTATCGAAATTCGGTTTGTAGTGTTATAAGTGCGCAGACATACCGCTGTACCACTGGGGGACATTAAAATGGAATATAAATACAGATTCTACTTATTCTAACTTACCATTTTTATATGCAATTCCTGACATAAAACTCATGTTAACTTCAAGTTTATTACAAACTCTTTAAATGCATTTACTAAATCTGTTTCTTTTTGTACTTAATAGCATTCTAGATGTTCTACTTGAAAAAAATGAAGTTACTGTTATCAAATGATTCGGACCATTATTTTTGACAACTTAAAGCAATATTCCGATTTTGGAATGTTTAATTAACTCAAATTCTTTAAAAACAGCCAACTCTGTTACTACTTATGATTTTACTACACTATATTCTAAAATAGATCTGAAAGATTTAGTCAGGGTTTCTAATGATCTGCTTGATAAATTTGTAGATAAAGAAATAATTATTCCTAAATTTAAATTCACTAAGCATAAAAATAAGTAAAAATATACTTTTGTATAGATTTTTGTATCTATACTAGTTATATTACTTTTTATGAAGAAACGTATAAAAATCATTGGATATTCCGTTGGGTGCTAATTTCTCTCCAAACATGGCCAACTTGTATTTGTTCTTTTATGAAAATTACTTTTTGAAACAGTTAAGTTTATACATCTATACTTTTCGTTACATAGATGATCTAATCTTCATCAACAACTTAAATTTTGATCCAAACCTAATATATCCAAAGGAACTTATAATAGAAAGAAGCAATATTGGTGATATTCATGCACATAACTTAGATTTATACATTAATTTTGTAGAAGGCAGAGTACAGTTGATTATTTTTGACAAAAGAAGGGAATTTGATTTTCCCACTCTTGGTCTATCCATCCCTAACAGTGTTGTTCTGTCTCTACTGTTAAAAAGGAATTATTATCTCCCAATTAAAAAGATTTTTAACATTTTGTAACAATATTAATTTTCTTATGGATAATATCCAATTTTTCATAAATAAATGAAAATAATGATTATACGGACTTATAATAAATATGAAGCTATATTAAAAAGGAAATTTTCGATCGTGGAAAATACCTTATTGAGAAGTTAGGGGTTGTTGGTTACTTACGGTCATCCTTGGTTTATAAGTGAGTAAATTTAAAATATTTATTCAATATACCGGGACGAAAATATCAACTTCAGGTAGCTTCGGTGTGTCTTGTCACCTAGTTTATACTTGAACAAATTTGCAAGATAAAGGGAGGAGGATGGAGCTTAAGAACTATTAAGGTGAGGGTCGTTAGTTCTGTTTAAAATTACAGTCACTTTATAATTATTAAATAAAAGTGTGGATGTTGAAAGTCTTGTAGAAATATAGGGTGATCTATTTCTACTAAAAATATTTTTTGTTTTTTATATCTCATAATATTAAAACAGAGTAGAGGTTGAGAGTTTTACATTGTAGAATTTTAAGGTGGTTTACTTCTATTTTCAGGTTATACCTAAATATTACGGTATCTGGCTGCAGATAAGATAAGACAGTAGGAGTTGAGACGTTGTGGGTTCAAGCACTCAACTTCCAAACACTAACTGATACCCCTTTGTTGCTGGCTAGTTTGAAATCGGCATCAGGTTCTTGTCTGATAAATGGAATATTCCTAACGTGTTTGAATGCCTTGGCCAGAGACATTATCCATTATGACTTAAAGATAGCAACTATGACTGGTAATGGAAGAATAATTATGATTTTTCATTCTAATTATAATGTTGTTTTGTATGAAGTTCATTATTGTTTGATATTGCTTATTTAATATTGACAACTAATGTATTTAATAGTACTGGAATTAGTTATTCATAAATAAATATATATTCTATAACCGTTAACATGTATAACTTGTGTGTGTTGCACTAGTAATTCTTCTTTAACCATTGCAACTCACAAACTTGTAAACACCAATCACACTACTTTTAGTTATTCCCAGTAGATCTATCCACGTTACACGAACACAGTGATTATTACACACGCCTTATCTCTCTCCAGAAATAAAAATCAT